AACACTTTTTTGTTTATGCTGAAGCTATATTGTAAGGTATCTTAAAAAGGGCAAATGTATAAATTATATCCTGTGCCTGGAGAAATATTTCTGTTTAAAACCCTTTTGTGATGGCTCACAGTTGCCAGAGCAGCTGCAAAGCTGTTTGGCTCCTGCTTCATTGTCTTACAAACCATTAATTAACCAGAGCCAGTTTTTAAAAAGGGAACAAAAAACCCCAAAACCATATGTGGAATGTGGGTGAGTAAATGAATGTTTGGGAGATGAATAATTTAGTTTGCTCACTGGTCTGTTCAGCATGCTTTTTCTTCCTACTGCAAGGCAACCTGAGTAGAATTTTGATCAGTTTATTTCCTTGCACTATCACAGACATCACTAAATCAATATGATGTTTTTAATGGAGAAGATAAACAATATTAGATTTTTTTTTACTACTTTTGTTCAAATAAGCACAACACTGAACAAGCATGGGAAAGAAAGGGGGGAGTGACTGGCAATTCTGGGCTGCTTTAGGATTAGTAAGAATCCCTTGCTGTGTAGAATCACACACACTCTCACTCTCCTATTCCAGCAGTTAACCTGATTCCCACAGAGGCAAATCTAGGCTTGCCCCTGAAGGTGCAAACAGATGAGACACTGGAGATCCACAATTGATCTGCGGTCCTGTTAAGCTTCTCTGAATAGCAGCCTTAGGGACCCCAATTCAGATTGGAGAATAATACAGAGAACTTTTCCCACATGTTTTTTCTACTAAGGCATGGTTGGGAGAAAATCTTCACAAGGGAAAGCCTTAGACTTTGCCTAGCACTTCATTCCCAATTCAGATCTTCCCCCCCCCTTCCCCACTACTACTAGAGAAGTTTAAGGAGATGGTAGATCTAGTCATAGATCTCCAGCATCTTGTCTATTTATTAATTAAAGTATTTCTACCCCTCCTTTTCTCTTGGCTGAAGGCAGCTTACAGTAATAATGAAAAGTTGAAACAAAAATAAGATAAACTTCAAATAATTCCCCCACCATAAGATGCCTGCTGTTCTTGGGCCCCTGCCACACGGGGCGGAAAGGGATGGGCTGAAGCGCGGCTTCTGAAAGCCACCTCAAAAGAAACACGCCGCGGCGGGATCACAGAACTGATGTTCAGGGAAGGTGCCTTCCCCAAACATTTACCGGACTTTTCTTTGGTTTGGCTGTTCGGGGCCATTTAAACCTAGCAGCTGAGCAGCATTGAATCTGCAGCTGAGCTGTTAGGTTTAAATGACTGTGAGCTGTTTCACCAGTCAGTTTTGCTTGCTGTCTGGTTTGGCCCAGGGTTTCCTACCACAGTTTAACAACATTCCTTCCAATATATTTAGTTGTTCTTAACTGGCTGTACCTGTAAGTTTTCTCCAATGGGGCAAATAAAAGCTTTGGAAGAAGAGCAATTGTAGATACAATGCAGGAGATAATGTTATCAAAACCCACCCCTAGTGCTTTGCTTCTGATCTAATTTGCCCTCTTTCTCCTCCCCTCCATGGCTGTTTCTAAGAAGAAATAGGAACATTGAGAGATCTGGTGATGTATCTCCTGTGTTTTGTCTATCTTAACCCTTAGATTTGGTATTGAATTGGAGGATGCAGCCTAAATACATACCCAAAAGACAAGTGCTGGTCCATTTGGCCAACCTGTCTAAGTCACTCATCATTGCATCAAATTATAATTCAATTACTTGTTGCTGTTTTTCCCCCAGTGGCTGGGGCATGCATGTCTTTGATAAATTTTTACACACTTGGAGTTGCAATTTTGTCTGCTGCTGCCAGAGGGAAGCAATTTAATTAGTGATTCGAGCTTTCCTTTACATGCTGTTTTAGAGACTTAGATTAGTGAACGGCTTAAAAAGATAAAAATTATAAAAAGTGGCTTCTGCACAGTTACATATTTTTATGTGGCTCTGAGATTTTTTTAAAGGCAGAGAGAAATAGTGTGACTTGCTTGTTGTAAGACTGATTTCACTTGTTTAGTTGTTGGAGACAAATAGTTTGGGTTTTTTTTAACAGAGTTGGTTTTAAGTGGGTTGAGAGAGGCTTTGCATTCCCTGTGTACTGTATGCACATTTCTTTTGTTTCATTTTTATCTGTGGTCAAAGAGGTTTTACACACAAAATCACAAAATGTATTGACATGAATGTATCTGCCTTAAGTAATGAATCCTCTTTCCAGTCACCTTGAAGCCTCTGGGGAAAAATGGCCTTCTCTCTGCAGTATTACAGACATGAGACAGAGCAGCATATTCAGAAATTTTGCTGTAAAGCATACTTTCAGAATTCAGGGAAATAGAGTTTGCCATTGATTTTCATACCAGATGATAATCTCTCTCTCTCAATCTCACACTCGGGAAAAATGGATATATACTAGACTTGGTATTTTTGGAAATGCGTATTCTGTCATTTGTAAGGTACCCATGCAAAAAAGAAAATGCATCTGTCTACAAAGTTTTATATGACTAGTTTGCCAAAATGAAGCATTAAAAGATGCAAGCGGAACATTTTGGAACTGTAATACCGATGAAATTGAGTAATGCTAACCTCTCTTTGAAACCAGTGCAAACCCTATGTTACATTTTATCACTAAGCTTGCTGACTGTTTGATGCTTTCTGTCCTTTACTAATGTGACAACACTTGTTAAGCAGGGACATCTGAGACAATTGAATGTAGCCGCAGGGTATCACAGTGGATATGGGCATTTGCAGGCTTCATTGCAGCACCACTAAATAAAGTGAAAACTGACTGACCTGGATTTTAGGGGGCACAGCAGCAGCAGCTCTAAACTGCTCTGTGGGCTGCTTCTAGTACTAATGACACCCGCATGGGGTTTTTGCTACCGTTTGGGCTCCCAACTGAAGGAAACATTCCAAATTTCCACAAAGCATCATTGTCCTTGTGTTTTTTCTGTGGTTTCTCTGTGCTTTCTCAGATCACCTTTCATGCAGTATTTCCTGCCAGTTCTCAGCCGAAACATGTTTTGCTTCTGTGTGGAAGGTGTGCTACACCTCCCACTTTAGTGCCGTTTCCCTGCTGTGTTCTCCTGTAGCCACCATTTCCTCCCCCACACCTCTGAGGGACTTACTAATTTTTTTCAATTAGCAATAGCTAAATCACTATAGCATTATAACAAGTCATCTGTTATATCCTCTGAATTCTCAGCTTTTATTTTTTTAAGAAGTAACCATCTAGCCTTTTCTATTCCTGACATACACTTTTTCCTTCTGCCTCTACAATAATAGTTGCTAGAGACTTACCTTTTTTAAAAAAATAAAAAATAGGAATTCAGAAAGCCTAACTGATTGTTATAGCTTTAGAATGTTATAGGGATCTGGCTATTGCCAGTGTTTAAAATAAAACCCTGAAAAGGCCACTGGAATGGCTGCAGTGAGGAAACCTACCACCTGGAAGTGGCAAACTACAGAGGATTGCTGCCACATGGAAGATCTTGTAACGTTACTCTCTGAGCTCCATTCTATGTCAGAACCAATAATTCCTCGCTAAGGAATAAAAGAGTGGAATTCTGATGATTTGGGGGTTTGGTATCATTTTCTTTTTCTACTTAATTGTTTAAGCTTTTGGGGGAGGGCAAGTCATATTTGTTTTATCATTTTAAAATATATAATATTTTGTTTCAAATACTTCCCCCATGTACATGGACCCACATTAACTATCTGAGTGCTATACACTTTGCTATTTCTTAGTTTTTGTATTATCTTTCAAAAACTTAAGGCCCTACTTTTAAAGCCAAGATGATATCAGCATGTAGATTTGCTCATTTGAGCACGTAGGGCAGCAATCCTCTGCAGTTTTCCCATTGCTGCTGCCAATTCACCTGAAGAGCACCAAAAGAAGGAGCATGCTATGGGACTATAAGAAAATTATGTATTGCATGTGTGAAGTATTCAGTACTTTACGAAAATATACCATCCTTGTAATGTATTAAAGCTGATTTTTGCAGCTTTGGTGCATATCTTCTTGACCCATGTACATTTCTGGAATAAACAAGCTGCTATTTTGTGAAGGAACAACCAGCAAGTCTAGGTATAAGGCTTTATAAAATGTGGGCCGGAGAGCTAGTGAAAAAGCACACATAGGACTGAATTGGAGTTTGTTTTGCAGTAGTTTCTGGCAGCACTGAAAAGTGCCTTTTCTGTGGGTGATTTTTTGTGGCAGTTACAGAAGTGCTGTAAAGTGTTCAATGATTCAAAACGCATTGCCCTTACTGACATCATCACACAGGCAAATTATATTATTTATTTATCTCTGCAATATTTTCCCATTTACTACATGATCCCTAGATGGTTGAAGATGCCCATATGTATATTGCCATTAAGGAGAGTCAGTAATTTTATGGGAGAGGTAGTGCTGAAATATCAGCAGAACCAGAAAAGAATGTCGTCTTCTGGCATCAGTTTTATCTGTTAAATGCAAGAGAAAAAATCTACTTTGAGAAGGATGGCTGCATAATTCTTGGGGTGCTAGAGGCACATAATTCCATGTGAAATCTCAAGCCACCAATATTTGAAGACAGAAGCTTCTTACTTTTTCAGTTTACTATTTTAGACTTAATGCCTCATAAGGGACATGACCAGATCCTGCAAGGTAGAGATTGGAGGAAAGGTGACATTTCTAAGGACCATGTTCCAGTACCCTTCACTAACTCTGATCTGCTAGCACCAGAGGTTTGGGATTTTCCAACCTGGAAGCAGTGAATTTTCACTCAGCCATCGTGTTATAGGCTCTGCCAAAGAATTTAGGATGGCTTAATTCTGTCTAATTTGTTTATTCCATGCTCCTTTTCTTCATTATTTTTACACCTCTTTGCATGTATAAAAATAAAATAAGGATTTAGCACTGTTTTTTTGGTCAATACTATATATACAATAGCCCTTACACACACATTTTGCATGTAAATGACTGCTGTTCGTATTTCTGCTTGTAATAAAATTGTTGATTTGTTCTCATTTTTATGATGGACAGGAAATAGCCCGTCACCTCCGCCCTGACACACTTCGTGCTATCTATGGCAAAAACAAGATTCAGAATGCAGTCCACTGTACAGATCTTCCAGAAGATGGTCTTTTGGAGGTAAGGCTGTGTGATGCATCTTTAGGTTATAGAGTTGTTGTTGTTGTTGTTTAAATAGTGGGAAACGTCTAAGCAGAATCAGAGTTTAAGGCTTGGATCCTAATAAGTGAGTATCCCAGAACTCATGGAAGAGAAGTTCCCAGCTTTCCACTTCCTACTGCACTACAACCTGCCATAACACCCCCTGTTTCCATTTTGTTTTCAGGAGTTAGCAGAATTCCACACACATTGTCAGGGGGAAAAGTAGGTATCTGCAGCAGGAGGGCAGAATTGCCAAATTCCCCCCTGCCTCAGATAGAAATGCTCTTTGTAAGTGGAAACTAATGTCTGGTGACATTCTTGTTGGAAGTGTTAACTTGTGTATTTTGCTGTAACTTATCAAACAAGAGATGACTAAATTTAAGCAGAAAAGAATTCTGAATACTGGGAATTACTAGAAGTATTCTTTGGTAAAGTTTTTTTTTTTAAATTTCCAAGGTCTCATTTCCAAACTGTTTTATAGAGCTTCAAGGTAAATTAGTTCTTGGTAGTACCAATTCAAAGGAGTACTATGTGTAGTTGGTCACTTTGTCCCCCCAACCAGCATTTGCTGTGCATGTAGTTAAGCAAATGGATATGCAAGATGGGTTGTTCCATGAACAAAGCATGATCTAATACGTTACCACAAGTTGTTTTAATGTGGGTTGACTGACTGCATGCCAGAACGCAAACATCCTGAGCCTTTGCTCTGGGTTCCTTTTAATAATGTAGGCATGACAAGTCGTTGCCTTTCTGTGATTCATTCATCCACAGATGTAGCTTTAATGCCGGCTGAGCTCTTTATGTATCAGTTACTTCTTATGTGGCAATTAGACCTTCCTCAGCATTGGCAACAGATGTCTTATCAGTGGCACATGAATAATGTAATGAAATACAGAATGCTATCTTCAAATTCTCTGGTGTAAACAGAAAATTATTTGCAATCCCACTGCTAGAATGCAGACCCAGTACTCTCCATCTTTGTGACCGTTAGACAATATAGTGGAATACACTGGCAAGTATATTATTAATATGGACAGTTGTTTCTGTCTAAGTAACTTTGGGTTGGATCCAAAGGTGTCCTTTCGGTTCAGGGAGAACTCCGTCCATGAATGGGAAGACTCCTGTTGTGAAACAGAGACTCTTGCACAAGCAGCAATTTGGCTTTAGATTCAACCCTTTGAACCAAAGACTCTTGCACAAGCAAAAATATGCGTTTGGATCCTTTATTATGAATTTATTTATTTATTTATTTATTACTTTCAATTTATATCCTGCCTTGCCGGGCAAATATTGGCTTCAGTAGTGCAATTCAGTTGCTTTTGTTACCCAACCAAAATCAGCTTGTTGTTTGTCTCAAGAGCACTGCAGTGCAGTGCACTGAAAGTAGCAAACCACAAACACCCACTTCTCTGTGCAATAGGTGAAGTTGGTTTTTCTCAGGATCATTGATGGTCAAGTCCAGTAATTAAATCACATGCAGAGGGCGTATTTTCACCTCTGCAAGGCTGTGCAATAGCATTCATGCATGGAATAAGTCCATGTTAGCATTGAGGTTAAATAACACCAATGTGGCAAGATTTTTTTTAAAGCTACATTAATGATTTATAGTCATTGGCTGATCAATTAACTTCCTCACTGTTTGTATGATTGGCTGCTCAGCAGTGATAACACATCTGTATAGGAAGGAGAAGGCTATGTCTGTGCTGTATGATAATGTGCATACATAAAATTCAGTTGATTGCTCTGTATTAATACTTGAAAAGTAACCCACTGAACAGGTATGAGGTGTTTTGCAAACAGCCAAACTGCTCTTTAATTACAATTAGAAAGCAGAACATGATACGAACTAGTGGGTGTTTGAAAGCTCTACTTATAATCAGAAGGTTAAAACTGACTTATAAATTCAATAAAAATTGACATAAAATTGAAAAGTAGAAATAATCAAACTTCAGGAGAAAGTCATGCCGGCCACATGACCACAGAAACGTCTTCGGACAGCGCTGGCTCTTCGGCTTTGAAACGGAGATGAGCACCGCAACCCTAGAGTCGGATTCGGCTGGCTTTCGAGCAAGGGAACCTTTACCTTTATTAATCAAAAACATGTGGTTCATGTCAGTTTGTGGTTCATAGCCAAACCATGAACCAAACTGGGAGGGACCACAGTCCATTTAAACGGGGTTTGCAGAAAGCATGAAAAACAGGTGAGCGGTGGGGAGCCGGGTGCTGCCCACCACTCAGCTGTTTTTGCAGCTTTTGTGGGGAACAGTATGCAGGAGTTTAAAGGGATCCAGAGTCTCTTCAAACCGCTGCTTTCTGTTCCATCCACAAACCGTCATGACCTTCTTTAACAGTTTGTGGAAGTTCATGAATCACGAACAGGTCAAAATTTGTAATGAATTTTGCTTCATAGTTTGGTTCGTGCCCATCCCTAGTCAGGTTGCACCCCTGCATTCTAGGAGAAAGAAGTAAAAACTGGAACCATCCCAGTTGAAATACAAAAACTGACAGACAGTTCTTGTGTCTCTCTAATACCAGGGTGTCAGATTACCAGGGTCACAACCTGGCATCAGCACCACTTTAAATCTACATACTGCTCAGTTTTTGCAGAGGACTCCTCCTGCTCCTCCTTCTTTTTGTAATATCCAGCCTCATGGAGACGGGTCCTAGCCTAGCCTAACTCTCCTCATGGCATGCACATTTTCTGTGTTCAAGGTTGTCTTGTGGGGAAACTAGCTTTTAAATGTGTAATGCACTATCTTCATTCTAAAATGGTATAGATCAGTGGACTTTCTAGCATGTGATTTTTCTTCTCTCTTTTTAAAATTGAACTCTTACATTTTGAAACAAAGGAGGAAAGTGCCTTTATTTTTTTAAGCTGTTCATTGTCAATCACTCATTGTAGTGACCCTGAACTTTTGGCTTACTTCTGAAAATGATTTCACCAAGCACAATACAGTTAATAAATAACTTTCATATGACTCATTTAAGTTAGGAAAGAGAAGAAGGAATTTAAAATGCCAGTGGCCACGGAATGAATAAGAAAGATAAAAGAGATCACACAGCCATATGAAACATGAATAGGAAAGTATGTAAAAAACACTTAAATCACTAAAAAAATATATTAATAAGAGAAATACCAGCTCAGTAAAGTTATTGATTTCTTGTTAATGGTGTCTGGGTGCCCATCATTTGGAATTCAGATACCTTGTACTTTTTGATACATTGTATGGTACCTTTAAAAACTGGTTGAAGAAACTTTATTATACAATAATGTTTGTGGAACTAACAAAATAGTACTATATTCTTGAAGAAGAAACCCAAAATGAAGCACATAATCCAGAATCTTAATTTACCCCCAATATCTTTTTTGAACAATTGCACACTACTGACTTTGGATAACATTGTTATATATATTTATCTTATTAATATATTTTGTTTAGTGGTTTAAGTGTTTTTACACGGCCTTTCTTATTCATGTTTCACAGAATGAATAAGCCCATTTTCATTAATAAAATTTGAAGTACAGGTTACTTTCTCTTGCTTTAGGAAAGAGTAAAAAAGATTGTGCCTATTGGGAAGTCCTTTTCATAATGCTGAATCAAAGGCTATAGCTATATATCTGTGTGATAATAACATAAATTATGTTACTTTTGGCTTTTATGTTTTCTTTTTGGGGGGGTTGTAATTTTTTTTATATATACATGTATGTTTGTGTGTGTGTGTTCACCTGAAAGTCATGGCGACCCCTGGTGACTGACCCCTCCTGGGAGCCTGAATAAAGCCTGCCCCTGGCTCCCACCTCTGGTCTCCCATCCAAGTACTTGCCAGAGTCAACCCTGCTTAGCTTCCAAGATATGACGAGATCGGCCTTGCCTGGGCTATCCAGGTCAGGGCTGGCTTTTATATTTCAAAATGGAATAGCCATTTTTTTGTTGTTTCTTTGTCTCGATAGTCTGATACAATGTGAAATGTAATCTAGGTAATCTAATTAAGGTCTGCATTATCTCCTATATTCTCATTTAAGACTTCTGAGAGATGCAGGTTTGGAATCCCCCCCCCCCAAATCATGTCTTGAAGCATCTCTGTTTTCTATTTTTTGTAGTAAGTATCTAGCTTGATGAAGAGTTCTATGGAACTCAAAAACTTACTCGTTTACTTCGTGATCTTTGTGTTGGTCTTGATAAAAGGCATTACATTGCTGTTTGAACATTTTTTGAGCCTCTCCTTTGCTGGTTTAAGGCATTAAATTAAATTGTAAACTCAGTATAGTGTCTTAGTTAACAGGAAATAATTATGTAAGTTTTCATGTGTGAAACCTATAACTAAAAATATTTCTAATACAATATCTTCATAGTGCATGGCAAGGTATAAAAAGTAATATGCTGATATTTGTCAGGCAAAACATTTGGTTTATTTGAAGTCGGTAAGCTGCATTGTTTCTTTTAGCAGTTTTGTTTTTTAAAAGCCTGATTATTTAAAACGTCAGTGCTTTCAAAAGTTGAGGGCTTATTTATGGCAACTTTGGTAAAACTGTAATTTTCTGGTTTTCTCTATGAAAGATACTTTTGCAAATTAAAATGAGTCTGGGCAATACAGACTCTGTTTTCATATAATGTCTTCTACCATGGAAGGAAACAAATTATGTTGTATTCGCTGTACTACTGATTTAAAAGCATTGCTTTACATCAAGAGCACACTGAGTCAACTGGTTTTTTTAATATGCCTGACACTCTTAGTAAACATAATAAATAGTAAAAAAAATCCCCCCCCCAAAAAAAACACAGTCTTGTAGAATTTGGTGGTGGAAAGTGCCGGCAAGTCATTGTTGACTTATGACGACCCCATAGAGTTTTGAGGCAAGTGATGTTCAGAGGTGGTTTACCATTGCCTGCCTCTGCATCACAACCTTGGTATTCCATGGAGGTCTCCCATCCAAATATTAGTCAGGGCCAACCCTGCTTAGCTTCTGAGATCTGACG